CCACACCTGAATTTTCTGTGATTTTACTTAAATGTCATGTCACTGAGTGGTGATATGTATATAACTGAAGTAGGTGTTGCCAAATTGATCTCTGAAGTGGCTGTACCGATTTACATCTCCTTTGCTAGTGTCAGAGATCTCATTCTCTGCTTTGCCATCATTGTACTGTTAGACGTTTCAGTCTTTGCCTGTTCAGTGTATCTGAAACAGAATCTCATTACTAGAATTACCGTGTCCCTGATCGGTCATCTTTCACACCCTTACAGAGTCAGGTGTTCTTTCTGTGAATCGCTGGTTGTTTCTCTATGACAGAGCACCTTTCTGAATGTTTTAGTTTCTGATAGTTGTGTCAGTGAGGTTACATTAGTAAAGTACATTGGTTATGTCAGTTGCTTCCCTGGACAGACACAGTGGTTATCATGTACAAGTAATGGGAAATTTACCTCCTCCTCCCATCATTTAATCTCTCGCAATTTACTCAGAGCCCGTGTGATCACATGTCAAATAGTGGTGATGACTGAGCACCTGTGCCTTTGATGGCGGTACAGGAACTGCCACTGTCACACTGTTAAGTGTGATGCTGACTTTTGATGGAGATAAATTCATTTTTATCATGTTAAGGAAATTTTCTTACTAAAGACTTTCATGAAGAATGATTGTTATTAGATGCCTTCCTGTCAGAAAGATAAGCTTTTATTTTTAACCCTTGACCCAGCATTCCAGTTGACAATACTGACTCTTTGATGAGGCAGGAATAGAAAGAGTATGCATCTTTAATTGGGTGCTTCGGGAGAGCGGCAGAGTTCCTCTTACACAAAAGCACAGTTCCTTCCCTAAGGAAATGTGTTGATGGCACATTTTGTAATGAAAGACCTTTAAACCGAGTAGGAAAATTTGAGGCAAAAGGGAACCAAATTTGTTCTTCATCATAGGTTAGCAGTGATTTTTTGTTTTCCTCAGGTTGCTTGATGCTTGAGGGGGAAGAGTTTGGGGGGACTTTTGGACTTGGGAAGAGAGCAAAGAAGGGGAGCCCAAGAGCTTGGTGGAGAGGGGCCAAGGGGGCCAGAGCACAGCCATCCCGCTGGGGGGAAGGGCCACCCAGCGATTTGCATTTCTCCTCCCTAGCTGACCACAGTGCCTTGTTTCCTTCTGGTACTTTTATAGTTTTATGTTTTTATGTTTAGATTTTTAAGCTCTCAGCAGTTTATTTACATCCTTAATTTGAAATAGGGATCTAACTTTTATTCAAATGTCTAAACATTTATGTTGAAATCTTCTGTTTACTGACTTAACACATATTATACCCTGAACAAAGGTTAAAAAAAATTTTTTTAAAAGATTTTATTTATTTTTAGAGAGAAGGGAAGGGAGGGAGAAAGAGGGAGAGAAACATTGGCCCACAAGCCAGGCATGTGCCCTGACTGGGAGTTGAACCCTCGACCTTTTGGTTTGCAGGTTGGGGCTCAATCCACTGAGCCACACCAGCCAGGGCTAAAAAATTTTTTTAACATATTTTATTGATTATGCTATTAATCAATATGTGGGTGGGCTTGTGCATGCTGTGGGACCCTCCAAGGACCTCTCCTGTGAGGCTGGGTGTCTCCGTGCGCCTCAACTCCCACAGGTTTCCTCAATCAGTGCCCTGAGGCTCTATTTCCCAGCGCTGTGATCCTGGGTTGCACGCAGTGCTTTGCTTCACACTCGCCTCCTCACTGGGTCTGGCCACCCCTCAGCCGGGGTCTGCCAGCTGCCTCTTGTGCACTCAGGATCCACCTGCTGTGGTCTTGCGTGCCCCGGATGCCTTATGCACCCGGTCCCAACACACTCTGCTCTCCTCGCCAAGACCCATGCCGGCTGCCCAACTCCACCCCTCCTACCGGTCTGGATAAGCAGATCTATTTCAACTTCCTGGTTGTCCGACTTCCATTCAGACCAATTTTCTGTCAGTTCTGGTTGTTATTCTGTTTCTAAATTGTTGCTGTCCCTATCTTGGTTGTGCGAGGAGGCACAGTGCGTCCACCTATGCCTCCATCTTGGCCAGAAGTCAAAGGTTAAAAATTTATATAGGGTAAATCAATTCATTCTTCACTTCAATGATAGAATGAGTATTGCATGTTTGTGTACAAAAAGTTGTCATGAGTAGAAGAATATTGAATCCCATCAGTAGTAGCATGGTTATTCCACACCTTCCACAACAGGACTCTGTGGCTTGAGCTCTGACTCGGTTCACAGTAGGTTCTGCACCTGGACATTGCAAGTCCTGTTGGAACTCATGTTGGACAGCGGTTGCAAGGGAGCAGAGGGAACATCAGATTGGTTTTGGCCCCAAGGCTGGACATTTCTCAGTATGACTGCATCAGAGGTCAGCGTGAAGTGATTGCCAGCACATTGTTTCTCCATGGGTTTGCTTGGGTTTGGCCAGGAAGGTGTCTCTGACATTTCTACCCTCACACATTCTGTGTGGTTGTGCCCGCATCCCCTTCTCTTTCAGATGCCCAACAGAACACAGGAAACACTTCCCACTTCAGTGTCTGGGTGGCCCTCATTCTAGTCAGGCACATGAACAGACTGTCTACTGGAGCCTACGCATGGCCTCTCTAGTGTGGAGGTCTTAGAATAGTTGAACTTACGTGGCAACTTGGGTTTGTAAACAAATGGAAGTGAGGTGCCAGCTTCCAAAAGCCTGGACTGGGAAGCTGGCACAGCATCATGACTTAGAGTTTTGGGCAGAGCAGTCCATGAACCTGCCCGGGTTAAAGGGGCTGCTTTCACTGCCACTGTTTTTATGCCCCTGTAGCCTCTTGTTCACAAAGCAGCCAGAAAAAAATCTTGTTTTAAAAAGTCATTTCTTGCCCTGGCTGGTGTGGCTCAGTGGATTAAGTGTCGGCCTGTGAACCACAGGGTCACTGGTTCGATTCCCAGTCAGGGCACATGCCTGGATTGCAGGCCAGGTCCCCAGTAGGGGATGTGTGAGAGGCAACCACACATTGATGTTTCTCTCCCTCTCTTTTTTCCCTCCCTTCCCCTCTCTCTAAAAATAAATAAAATCTTTTTTTAAGTCATTTCTCTGTTGAGAATCTCCAGTGGCTTCCATTGCACTCTTGAGTATAACCTAAGCTCTTTCTTGATGCCTCGGTGGCCCTGTGTGATTTGACCCCTTGCTGTTGCTCCAGTGTCATTTCATACCTTTCTTCCTGGTCCCCTCAGCCACGCTGGTTTCCATGCAGTCTCTCACACACTCTGGCCATGTTCCTGACTTAGCCCTTGCCTCAATATTTCTGTAGCCTGGTAAGCCCTTCTGATCTTTCGCAGAGCTCAGTCTACTGAGGTGTCTTCTCCTCAGAGAGGTTCTTCCCAGCTACTTTACTTGAAACAAATCTATGTCATTCCGTGTCCCCATAGCTGATTTGTTTTTCTTCGTAACATGTTTTTTTTTTGTATATTCATCTCTTTTTCCCACTAAAAAGAGTTCCATATGGGTAGTGACTTTAAGATTTGTAAGATGAATTTCACTAGTGCCGGATTTTTTTATAATTTGTTATAAAGGCCAGCCCACAAAGGCTTCCTCAGCAGAGTACCATTGTATTTAGAGGCACACGAGAAAGCATTCTTCACACTAGATTTAAATGGGAAGCGCGATGGATGACTTGAGGAGGAAGCATTGCCCGCCCTGCACGGTGCCTGTGCCCACCTGCTACTGCCGCTGCCCAGTGGGTGGGGAGCAGGGAATGTCACAGGGCAAGTTCCTCCCTTACCCCAGGAGCTGTTCTGCAGGAAGGGGATGAAGGAAGTATTCCTGCTTAGACCCCAAGCCCCTGGGATGGCCCAGACCACTGCCCACACCAGTCCACCAGTGCTGGGGAGGCCCAGCCAGCCAGCACCCTTTGCGTGTCGGCATTTTACCTGGTGCTCTGCCCAGCACCGGGCGCCAGAGGAACTGGGCAAGAGGAGTGGTAAGCAGGCAGTAGCTGCAGAACTACCAAGAGGTCCTTACAAAGCTTCCATGATGTACCCTCCTCAAATAACAGTCACACTGGTCTTGTAACAGCACCGTGAAGGACATGCACACATTTTCTAGATGAGGAAACAGGACGTGCAACTCACCGAGAATCACAAAACAGGACGTAGCGGGGCCTAGAAGACTTTAGATAAACTACCACACTCTCTGCCGTCAGCATGGGCGTGTTGTCTGTCTGTGTGGTAAGATGCCAGTTGTGCATGGAGCCGCCCGTGACAGGTTTGTCCAGTCTTCCCACCTGGTTACATCCTGAGTGGCTTGTGCTGCCCCAGTATTTGTCACAGCTGTTTGTAGTAGCCCACTGAAAAGCAGCTGCTTACATGTTTGGCTCTTTGGGGGTGTTTTTCATATTTAAATGGTTAAGGAAGTCAAGTCTTCCTGTGGAACAGTTGAGAAAGACTAATAAATAAAGCTCTGTCTGCATTCAGAAGTTAGTCACTGCTCTGGTTGGTGTGGCTCAGTGGGTTGAGTGCTGGCCTGTGAAGCAAAGGATCGCTGGTTCGATTCCCAGTCAGGGCACATACCTGTGTTGTGGGCCAGGTCCCCAGTAGGAGGCATGCAAGAGGCAACCACACATTGATGTTTCTCTCTTTCTCCCTCTAAAAATAAATGAATAAAATATTTTTAAAAATTAGTCACTTATTTCAGGGTCTCATCTGAAAAATGAAGTCAAAGTGCATAATTGTAGGGTCTTTTCTGTTCTTTCTGCAACTGTTCTTGCAGTTGAAACTGTTTTTTGATTTGAAGTTTCAAAGCCACCATATTAATTGGTGATGATTTCCCAGAACCCATCCAGTAGGGGCTGTACAGTGATGGCATCTGTCCCCAGTTCCCTTCTAGTGTTGTCACTGCAGAACTCAGACTGCCTTTGGCCCCCTGTAATGCTTGCCTGTGTCCTCGGGCTGCACCTTCAGATTGCAATTGCTCTGCTCTGGGAGGACTGAGTCCCATTGTGTTTCTAACTACTGTGTGTGTTTCCTAGATTCTTCAACTAACTGCAAGCAAGAGAAGTGAGGCTGCTGGAGTTCTCCCTTGGTACTGGTGGGAGTTGGGGGGAGAAAGAGCTCCCTGGGCGCCCTGTGTCACAGTGGCCTGCTTGGAAGAGAGGCTGGGATTCCACAGCTCTGGGCATTGCCTCATCTCTGACGCTGCTGAACTGTGTTTTCACAGGTGCTGTTTTCTGTTTCACATTTTCATACACGTAGTAGGGGGAAGTGTCTCTACTGACAAGTAGAAAAATGCTATTCCTTTTAAGGCAGTTTTTCTTTTTTTTTTCTTTAATGGAATTAGTCCTTGGCTTTTCTCCCAGTCCCAACCCTCCTTCCAACTGCTTAATGGCCCTGGGTAAATACAAATAGAGATCGCTGTGTGCATTTTATAGGGCTCTCTGTTTTGAAGAGGGAGAATTATGTTACAAATGTTTTTGTTGTAAATAAATAAAATACTTCCTTGTCCTTGCAAGATCCAGTATACATTTAATTGTGTGAATTCAACTAAACTTGTAAAGTCAGTAGGTGGGGTGAGGGACAGCTATTCATTAGACCAGTCGGGTCAGCAAGAGGGGTTATTGCGTGGCTTTTTAGAGCCAGAGTATTTCTTTTCTATTTACCTAATAATAAAATACTTGTGCATTTGAATTTAGGTTCCCTTGAAACCAGCTGCCTTCTGTGGGGAGCTGTTTCAAGACAGTTAATTGGAAACCTTGGTGCCAGTCAGTCTTCCTGCACTTGTGCACCCCAGGGCTTCGGCCTGACTCCTGGCAGGGCGGCCTCTGTGCCTCCCCTCTGCTGCATGCCCTTGCCCTGGGCCAGCCTGCACAGCCTCCTCGGCTCTGCTTCCACCCCTGCCATCCACTCCCATCGTGTGTTCCCATCAGCAGGTGAACTGCCCACTCTCTCCCACAACACCCACGCTGCCCTCGGATCCTTTCATCAGTGCCATGTCCTCCCTCTTTACCCTCCCTGACCCTTGTCTTCCCTTCCCGGCCAACATCCTTCAAGGGCGTTGCCTACACTGGCTCTCTCCACTCTCTCACTGCCTTTGCACAGTCTCACCCCAACCCCCTTGGTGGTCTAATCCAGTGAGTGTGTCTCTGACTTGACTGTACTTGATGCTTTTCTACTTTGAAGCTTCCTCCACCCGGGGACACTGTCTCCCCTGAATGTCTAACCTTCCACACTCTTGGATTTCCTCCTCCCCTTGGACCACCCTTGGTTTCACTCTTCTCATTGCCACCCGTCCTACACCTCACCCTTCAAAAAACACTTCAGAGCGTTTCTTCTGTAATTTAGACAATCAGTGGCTGAGGTATAGACAAGTGAGACCCAGCCAGACCTCGGGCTTTGCCGGGAGGCTGGGGGTGCCCCCTGACCTGGGAGGAACCTGGCCTGGGCCTCCCTTTTCAGTGCCTCACTTTCCGACAGGATCTGCTTGGAGGGTGGAAACCAAGTCCTTCTGGAGCAGGCTGGGCGCTGCCTGTCTTCCTGGGGAGGGAGGGTCAGGGCGGTGCTGCCCAGCACCAGGGTACGAAGAGGCCTGCCCAGGAGACTCCTGCCCTTCCTGGTGCTCCCTTCCCCTCACGTTGCTGGAATGACAGCCTCGGAAGAGTGGTTTTCTTTAGAGGTGTGAGACCCTGACTGATGGTTCCCAGATGGTCACCTTCAGACCACATAACCACGGCTAGGATTCACCTAGGGTCAGACATCTCTCAAGTCCCTCTAGCCTCAGGAGGACCCAGATCAGAACCATCTCCTTACCCCACACTCCACCTGGTCGGCTCTGCCATGCCCTGTTCCAGCAGCTGCCAAGGCTATTCACCCAACGGCTGTCTGTCTTCCTTCCTCAGCCTCTGACGTGGCTGTATAGCCAAAGCAGTATAAGGGCCAGCCGTGCGTCCTTCTGTGGCACTCTGGTGTCTTCACTCCTTAGCCTTCACCGACCTCCTCCGTCTCAGTTCTGGCCTTGACGCGTCTCCCCAGCCGTGCCTCCAGCAGTGGCGGGAGCTGACCCGTCACTGCCCAGCCTCTGTTTGGCCTCTTTTCCAGGCCTCATCTTGGAGAAGAGTCATTGATGGAACTTAAGCAGAGGAATGTGATGAGATTGGTGTTTCTAAAGGATCCCTCTGGGGTAAAAGTTTTGGGAAGGCAGTTTGAAAGTATTAAAAGTTTAAGAACATACACTCTTCAACCTAGCAATCCCATTTGTAGGACTCTGTCCTTCAAAACCGCTTACACTTGGGAACTGAAAGCGTCTCGCCACTGTTGACGGCGTGGCACAGCTGGAGACAACTGTGAGTTCTTCGAAGGGGAGTGGCGAGAGAAAGCACCGTGCAGCTATCCTGGGGACACGTGGTGACTTTAAAGTCTAAGCTGGAACCTGGAGAATGAATGACACATGGAAGCTGAGTGCACCAGTGTGTATGAATTGAGAAAGGACTGGAAGAAAGGACTGGAAGAAAGGACTCCGAACTTAACTGTGGCTGCTTCTGGTGAGTGCCGCAAGGGAGACAAAGGCAACTTCTGTGTTTCGTTCTGAGGGCTTCCATACGATGTTTAAGATGTATCTGTGTGTTACTGGTACAGCTTAAAACTTGGAAAAGTAACTGGCTGCCGTGTAAACCATCAGGATGAATTGGAGAAGCCAGAGGGGCCTGCAGGAGTGTGGCGGGCAGCATGTATGAGGGACACTTTAGGCAAGACCACTGGATGCCCCAACCCACCACACACGTGTCTAGGTGGGACAGTGGTGTCTTCTCCTGCCAGGGAGACATGTGGCTCCTGAAGAACAAGGAAATTCCAGCTTCCTGAGGATCTCCAAAAAAGATTTTCTGGAAAGGCTCCCCACTCAACAGGGCAGCATGTGGCAACTACGGTGGTTCTCGGGTGGCACTGACCTCATCAAGCCACATCAGACAGTTTGCTTTCAGTAAACCACTTTTCACCCTACATGGGCTCGGGCGTTGATTCTCCCTTTCTAACCTCCTTTATTACCCCCCACCTGCTGCGCTTGCGGGGAGCAGCCCCTGTCGAGTGTAGCACATCGGTGCGCTCAGCGTCCAGGTTCTATCTTAGACGATGATGTCACCTAGCCTCTGCAGGGGAGCTGCGCTGCAGAGACTAGCATTAATGCGCTCCCAGCCGTGGTGCATCCCCACCACCAATCTGTACAAGGCCCTCCCGTTAACTCGCTCCCTTGGACCCCCATGTCCTCTCCCATGGGCAACCACGTTAGTGTGTTTCGTGTATGTCTTTGTCTTGGGTGCATTTTTGCAAAATGTGTGTCATGAGGCACCATGAGGCCACCTCCCTCTGGCATCCCAGGCAGCGTGGTGTCATGGGAATGTCAGCTGCAGTCTATGTGGCCTGCCTGGTCCCTCCCAGCACTGCTTCAGTCACTCCCCTGACAACTCTGTGAGGCGAATGGTAGCACCTGCCTTACCGAAGAAGGAAAAGGTTGGCTTATCGGGGTGAAGAAACTGACGCAGAGCCACCTGGCTCTCTGACAAGAGCCAGGACTAGTTTGGATGGGGCCTCTGGCTCTCCAAAGGGCTTGTCATCCTCACCACACAGCCTGGTGCTCAGCCTCTCCTCTGCGAGCCTCGGTTTTCTTACTCCCACCCTCCCCTCCCTGGAATCTACCACTAGCACTGAGAACTTACCACCTGATCTTCTGCCGGGGACATGGCCCTTTCCACTAAGTCATCAATGGCCTCTCCCCTCTCCACCTAAGCCCAGCCACTGTCTTTAAGATGATTTGAGCTTTTCCCTCCCCACAAAGGCCAGAAGGCCCTGGCTGGCTTTTGCTGAGCAATCTGAGCAATAGGTGGCGACATAACCCACTTTATGATTCTGGGCAAGCCAGGTGGCCCCACAGCAACTGTGGCTCACCTGTGCCAGGGCAAGTGACCTGGGCTTGCGAGTTCGTTCTCTGTCCACTTGCTCAGTGTAGTCCCTCAGTGAAGAGCTGTGCTAGGTGTTGGGACTTGGCTCTGAGAGTCAGGCCCTGGCACTCAAAGGGAAGGAGAAGGCAGCAAGTGTAGTCAGTCACAAGCACAGACCCGGGAGGGGCTGGAGAGGCTTTGCAGGGAGGTGACTGAGCAGAGTTGTAACGTGGGAGCCTGAAGGATCTCCTGCAGGTGGGGAGAGAGTGCAGGGAGCAGAGGCCTGGAGCACGGCCCTGCCTGTGTGTTTGAGAAAAGTCTTTTCATGTGGAGGGCCTGTGGGCAGAGGGGACCAGATTCCAGAAGGCTGTGTGTGTTGGGCTGAGGAACCAGACCCTGCTGTCAGCCTTGGGGCCTCCTGAAGGCTCTTCTGCCCAGCAAAACGAGCTCTAGAGACTCCTATTCCGTCAGGCTCAGGAGCCGGGCTGGCTGCAGAGAAAGGCCGTGCTTTTTCCCTGGCTCTTTCTCTCTCCTGAGCTCTCTGTCGCTTTGGTCAACTCAGTCGTGATAGTGACATAATAATGGTGAGCAGTTGGACTTAGTGTAAAGCACAGGGTAAGCAAAACACCCGTGTGTGTTTGCACACTCATGTTTTTGGCCTAGGAGGCAAACATTCTAGATAGAGAAATGCCAGCTGATAGTAATATAACATGATGTAAATAGTGTAATAAACCAAGAAATGGTTTCTTTGGATAAGTGCGATATTCTTAATTCACAATCCATCAAACTAAAAGTGCAGGTGAGGAGAGACATCTTTATTTTCCCCATCCTGCTCTCTTTTCCCAGCTCCCTCCTGCTGAGCTAGCCCTCACTCCTCAAATCAAGGTAGAAACGCCCTTCTAGGAAGGAGGAATGTCCAGACCCAGAAAACTCACCCACAAAGGGAAAGGAGCTGGCAGGTGAGTGTGGCTTTGTGGCTGCTCTTTGAGAAATCCCAGGAAACAAGAACAGCACCAGGAGACAGGCTCTAGACAAATGGCTACTTTAAAAGAGGCTACATGGCCCAGAGAGGGCCCCAAACTTACTGCTGCCGAGATGCTGGGCACCCCTGCAGTGACCCAACTGGGCGCTTGTGCCAGGTGATAGGGGTCACTGCATGCTAGCTGAAGCTGAACCCGAATTCCTGGTGCAGAGTCTCACATTGGTTTCTAAAAGCATTTTGAGGTAAATTGTGAGGTGGATAAAAGTAGACGAGGATATGAAGGAGTCATCTGTTCTTGAAGAATAGGCTTGCCAAACTCATTTGCGTTGCTTTGGTTCAGTTCGGTTTGGAAGGACTCCTATGGAGCCTGTGAGACTCCCACACAATCAGTGTCCCCAATACCTTCCACTGAGAGTGCAAGCCACTGCCCTCAAGCTGCAGCTGCTCCTGTCCCCCTGCCCAGGCCTCTGAGCTGTCCTCCCTCCTCCCACTCAGCCTCACCCCCTCAGTCACAAGGCTGAGGGGTTTGCCTCCTGAATACCCTCTGTGTTGCACTCTCCCTCAACTCTTTCTCTCTCTTCCCTG